ATATGTTGTATTAACTGAAGCTGTAAAAGAATGCATATGGCTAAAATACCTTCTATGTGAATTAAACTTCTTGAATGATAATGTTATGATTTTTATTGATAGTCAAAGTTAATTGATGCTGTTAAAATCCAAGATAAAACTTGATCCTTGGCTCAGAAAATCCAATAACACCACAACCGTCAAAGCTCGACCCACAACGTTGCACCTTCGGTTGCCTCTTTTTACCCACTTCGATTACCCTTCTTTTAACCCACAAATGACACAAAGGGAGAGGGGGAGGGGGAGGGTTGATTTGCAAGCCCAAAGGGGGGGCAGGAGAAGGAAAATAATGGATCTTTACATGTAAATAAATAAGTTTAAGAGCTTTTACTCTTAAACCTTCTGTTTGCCTAAAACTTTCATGTTTTATCCATGCCTTCATACACTTTTAATCTCATATACAATCTCATGTACGGATCTATACAAGAATCAATGGGACAGATCAAATCCAGCAAGGCAGGAGGCTGTTAAGGATGCAAGTCCAGGTGATTCACCATAGTGAGGCAAGAGAAGTATATCAGACAGAAGCGTAAGAAGGACCAGTCAAGCTCTACACACAGTAAGAAGGTTTAATTTTTAAAAGTTTTAAAATTATTTGATACATGTTATCCATGTGGAATCCTCTGTCTAGACAACATTTCATAAATTCCTCAAATTTCCTCAAATACATTTCATAAATCCCGTGAATTGCAAGCTTAAAGGGGGGAAGGAGAAGAAAAATAATGGTTGAATCTCACTGAAGAAATCACCTCACTCGTATGCCTCTCTTCTCTCTTGGCTGCTATCCCGATGCATTAAAAGCTAAATCGGATGAAATTACTGAGATAAATGAAATTGTACATAGTTTGATTGTATTGCATTCATCTGATTATGTGTTAAGACAAGTTGAATAACATGAGACTGCCAAATAGTTGTGGGAAGTACTCGACAAGTTATTTTTGTAAAAATCTATTCCAAACAAAATACATTTGTTTAAAAAACTTTTCAATTTTAAGTTGGACCTGGAAAAAGATCTTGAATCCAATTTGGGTGATTTTACTTACTTGTCAAGTGTTTAGCCCACAACGATAAGAAATTTGATGATGAGTATCTAGCGGGTATACGTTCGAATACTACGCCCGAATCCTATAGAGATGTTAAGAATGTTATCACGTATGCTAGGGATACTTTGATCTAAGATATTGTGACTGACGCTTTGAGAGCTAGGGAGCTAGAATTTAAGAAAGAGTCGAGGAGTAGTTTGAGAGAAAATAGTTTATTTGTTAGAGGGAGGAAGCAGAAAATAATACAATGGTTGAATCTCATTAAAGAAATCACCTCACTTGACTGCCTCTCTTTTCTCTTGGTTGCCTTTCTCAACTCTCTCCTCTCTTGCAAAATACACACTCACAGAACTCACAACTGGAGGTAGAATATATATAAGTAGGTTACATATATTCAAATGGGCCACCAACCAATCTACTAAATGGTCCATGTACAAGAGCAATTAAATGGTTACCATTAATCGAAACCCACACACTAGTCAAACCACCAATCTAATGAGGGAATATTTCATAACTAAGAGGTTATGTTTCACCAATTTCAAATTTAAAAAACTGAGTTTAGAATTTCAAATCTCATATATTTTTTAATGTTATTTATAAA